CAGCTGCGAGGCGGGCGGTTAAGTCGCTTTCGCCCGCGGCCGCCCCGCCGCTGCGCGCCCTCGCGTCCAGCTCCTTCTCCCGCGCCTCGAGCTCAGCGGCCCGCTGGTTCAGCGCGGCCCTCTCGGCGCGGGCACCTTCCAGATTACAGCGCGCTTGTTCCTCTTGCGCAGCCTCGCGGAGGGACAGGCTGTCCGCCAGCCGTTGCGCCGCGGCCTCGGCCTCCTCGAGAGCTCGCTCCCGCTCGGTGAGCGCGTCCTCGCGGAGGCGGAGCGCGGACTCTTCTTCGGCACAGGCGGCTTCGTGCACCGCTAGTGTGACCTCCCGAATAGCAACGGCGGCCTCGCGATCCGCCAGGTCCCTCTCCACGGCGCAGGCACACTCTTCCAGCGCCATGGCACGGGCCTCAAGGGCTTCTTCGCGCCGCCGGGATGCCACCTCGGTCTCCGCCGCCCGCCGTTCTCGGGCAGCGGCAGCGTCAAGGACCCCCCGGGCGGCGTCGAGCTTTTTCCCTAGCTCCGCCTCCCAGCTCCCGTATTGAAGGCGGAGGGTGTCCTGCGCCTCGTTCATCACAGTGGTGGCGATGAGGGCAGCCCCCCGCTCCTCCTCCACCTCCTTGGCGATCTCCCCCAGCACCTTCCGACGGGCTTCGAGCTCTGAGACGTGCCGGCGGTGTGCCTTGCGGCCCACCTCCACCATGGCCTCCACCGAGCGACGCCCCTCTTCGACACGTGCCCATGCGGCGTCGAGCTCCACCCGCTCTGCTTGCAAGGCCTCCATCTGGGCACTTAACCCGTCCAACACCGTGGTGTTTGCGACGGCCAAGGCCTGCAGAAGGGGTTCTGCGCTCAGTGGACCAGCGGAAGGCGTGGGGAAGAGCCGCCTCGAAGAGGATGCCGCGCGGCTTGGCCCGCCGATGGACGTGCCGGACTCGGGGATGTCCCCCGGACCTGGTTTGTCCTGAGCGTCGCACGAGGGAGTGGGCCCAAGCGATGCGCCCGCGGCCTCGTCGCGAGCTGCTTCGGAAGTCGTCATCGCCTCGGCCTGGCGAAGTCTAGCCTCCTCCCGAGCGGCTTCCTCGGTCTGGCGAGCCCGGGCGGCCTCCCGAGCGGCCTCCTCGGCTTCCCGAAGGTGATCCGCGGCTTCTCGCTGGTCAGATTCCCGCCTCCGGGCCTCTGCGGTCGCCGGGTCCTCGGCCTCGGACTGGCCGGACTTGGAATGGCGGGAGGGACGCGACGGGATCTCGCTGAAACAGAAGAAAGATCAGAAGACAAACAAGATGGATGAGTGAAAACTCGCGTTGAGGGAATGAATACGGCCACGATGGGCGTGGGACGAACCTGCGAGGGGGTCGGTTAAACGACCACCTTGGAGGGGAAATAAGGTTTCCCCGGGATGGTTCTGTCCCCCCCATCTTGCGGGGCCATTTCTTCTTCCGCTCCCCCTCGGGCTGCGACGTCGGCGTGGCCCCCTCCGGGCGCCTGCTGCTGGCACGCGCCGCCCCGCCCCCTCGGGGAGGAGATGGGGGAGGGGTTCCTTCCTGCTTCCTCTTCCCCCGGGCGTCGGCAGGGCGGCCGCTCCCTGGGCCCCCGTCGCGGGGCCCAGAAGCACGACCCCCTCCCGGGGTAGATTGTTCCCCCCTGCGGCTCCCGCCCGCGCCATCGTGGCCTCGAGGAGCCCGCTCCTCCGACGCCCCGACCGCCTGCATGATGGTCAGGATGGAGGCGCGGTCTGGATCGCTGCAGAGGGGGAGGACTCCTTGAGGAATGAGGGATGCCTCCACGGAGCTGAGATTCAGCACCCGTTGGACCACTATCTTGAAGTCCTCAGGAGCCCAGTCCCATCTGACTCCCTGGTGGGTCCTCATACAGTCCTCGGACCCGGTGTACTCCCAGGCGCCCCGGGCGCGCCGCTGGAGTGGCGCGATCCGGCGACGAAGATAGTCACCGAACACCATGGCCCCTGTGAGCCCTTGGGATCGCAGGCCCGCCAGGCGGTCGAGGACGGCGTCGTAGCCATCTCCCAGATCTACCGGCGCCCGCCAGTTGGAGGCCTGCGCTGGAGGCTGGCTCGGAAGTCGGAGGCGCGCTTCGTCGGCGAGGGGGGTGTAGAACCAGTCGCTCTTCCAGTCATCCCACTTCTTGCGGAGGACGCAGGGAATGTAGCGGTTCAGCACCGGCCCCCGCGGCTGGAAGTAGCAGCCACCAACCACCGACGGCGGCGACACCGGCTGTGCGGTGAAGAACCACCGGAACAGCCGAAGGGATGGGCGCACCCCGATGAACATCTCGCACAGGTGCGCGAAGATGGCCAATGTCATTACCGCGTTGGGGGTGAGGTGCGCCATCTGGAGATTGTAAAACTCCAGAACATCCATGAAGAAAGAAGAAAATGGCGGAACCAGCCCTGCCATAGCAAAAGGGAGGAAGAAGACGGACCGCCCCGAGTAGCGTGGCGCCGGGCATCCCTCGCCCAGCGAGACTATCTCCCGGCCGGTGGCAGATTCCGGCATGAAGCGGCGCGGCAGCCCGGCCTGTCTCTCGCTCACGATGCGGGAAGGCGGCAGCACGCTACCGTCAAGCGGAGCGGAGCCCCGTGCCATGACGCCGGAAGAAGAGATGTTTGAGAGCGAGCGCGTGTGGCAAAGGTAGGGCACAGGAAACAAGGAGTTAGGGCACAAGCGGCGAAGACAAGGGGAATAATGGCGAGAGGAAGGAAGCAAATCTCTTCCTCGGCGACTTTATACCCTTGCCAACGCTAAGCCCGGCTCCTCGTTTCTTGCGCCCACTATCTGCCCCCTCGTTTCTCGCGCCCACGCTTCCACTAATCCCATTCGCCCGTTTGCGGTGCATGAGGTGGATATGCGGCTGTGGCAGTCGAGATGGAACATCTCGTGCGCGCGTTAATTACGCTCGCCGACCGAAGCGCCATCACCATATCTCCAGGCAAAACGAACCAGCTCGTCCCGATTCGCGTGTTACTCGAGTAATGTGGCAGTCTTGAAGAGACTGCTCATTATTGACAGCCGAGTAACCATTGCCGATGTGCGTGATTTGCGACCGTTGGGTTTCTGCCCAACTGTGGAGACCGGTCCCACCTGTCACCAGGCCTTAGGAAGTGGCGTCACGCCCGACCGCTTCCCTCGAGGAGGGCGATCGCCCTGGCATAACGCCGGGGGCTACTGTCGGTGACATGGGACCGGGAGTATTATGACTTAGAGACTTGAGGCAGACACGATCACCCACGTGGCCTAACCCCCTCGGGGGGGGGGGGGGGGGGTCGGGCCCGAGGGTGATACGGCCGCCCTTCTCTTTGTCTCCCCGAGGGGTCGGACCGCTCCCGTCTCGGCCCCGAGGGCCGAGGCGCCCCGACCCCTTGTGGGTTTTGCGCCGCGTATATGGGGTAGGTGAGCATAGCGGGGCTCACCTAACCACATTTATTGCGGTTTGGACGAGCGCGTCACGCCGCATGTAACGAAGTGCAGCGCGCTCGTTTATCCGGTCTGTGATCAGTCACAGACCGGTCAGATCATGGGTTAGGTGGCGACAGGCGGTCTGACGCACGCCTCGCCCCATCCCGTCAGGACAAGAGCCTCCAAGCACTCGTCCCTAGCCGGAGCCGGCGTGTTAGCTCCTGGAGATGGCACGTTGGTTCCGGTCAGATATATGCCAGGCTTCATCCTAACCATTACAGGCAAGATATTGTATGAAGAAGGGCGAACATGCAGATTGTTAAACTGACACGTGGTGGACAAGAATGACCGATTTGTGACCGGTCTGACAATGGTCATGTCGTCAGCAGACAGCCATGTTCCCACGTCGCGCCTGCTTCCGGCGGAAGTGGAGGTAGGTATGGGCCGTCCCATCAGAAGGTCATTCGGACGGCAGCCATACAAATCTCCGTCCATTAATGAAGAGAAGGGAAGTAAGAAAGAGAGGGAGAGATGGTGCATGTGGTATCCCCTTGAGATATAAAAGGAGGACCTTGCCCACTTAGAGAAGGAGGAGAAAAAAGGATCCCAGAACGATTGGGGGCTGGCTCGCACTTTGTAGCTTCTTCATACACAGATCCACCAAAACACAGGAGTAGGGTATTACGCTTCTCAGCGGCCCGAACCTGTATACATCGCCCGTGTCTTGTGTGATTTCACTCTCGCGAACTTTCCACAGACCAAGAGCTTAGAACCTCACCCAGGGCCCCCGGCCGAACCGGCAAAGGGGGGCTGCGCGGTCTCCCGGTGAGGAGCCCCACGCTCCGTCAGGGTGGTTATGCCTTATATTTTGGAATGGAGGGAGTAATATATTTTCAGATGCTTGATCTGATTTGAGTATTTTAGTCAATTTTCACATTTCTTTGTGACAACAGCAATTAACTTTGTGGATTTACGGAGCTTCCTTGCTTGGGGACAGAGCCTTGAGGATATGGGTCATAGTACCCTTTGAAATCCTTACCACTTTCTGGAATACATGTCCACCTGTAGGATATTTAATTTGGAAAAGATTGAAATTTTTATAATACTCTAAACGAAATAATAACGATAATTTCGATGTAAAATATGATTCAAATAATTCAAAGATATATTGATTATCAGATTGAACTGCATGATACTTGAGAATTTCGTCAACTCAAGATTCAAACACTGTTGCTTTTTCTTGGCTATGCTGAACTGCTGCAGAATCAACCATGGAATGAATTTTATGTTTTTCTATTCCCTCCATCCCAAAATATGATTTTCGCGGGGATTAAGGTGAGGGATGACAGTAAATGGGGGATGGTTGTGATTGGTTGAGATGAGGAAGTAGCTGGAGAAATTAAATGAGAGATGATTGTGATCGGTTAAATGAGGGAGTATGTAGAGAAGTTGCTATATTCTGAGACAAAATTTGAACGATACAAGGTGCTATATTTTGGGACAGAGGGAGTACTTGATTCTTTGTTTAGGATTAAAATTCCAATTTAACAAAATGTCTCCAGAAGTTCATTCATCTTCTCTTTTCCGCAGGCTCTAGAAGTTCTTGGTGAAAGTGAAACTGTGAAGTCACAGGATATGCCTTCAACACATGCAGATATTTTGCAGAGTGATTCATCAATTGAGAAGGATAAAGGTTCTTCTGGGAGCAGGGAAGGTGGATCTCAGGATTTAGTAACGACCACTGATCTTTCTTTACAAGATGAATGCTGGATTTCTCCTCCCGAACACTCATATACAAGCAGTTCTGGATATACCACAGAGTTAACCCAGATTACTTCTTCTGAGAACATAGAGAATATGGATCCCTTATTGGTTGACAGGCCTGTGATAGAAGCTCCTGGTGCTAATGATCAGGAAAGAGGGGCTGATTCGGAATCAGATTCAAGTAGCAATAAGCAGTTGTTCATAAACAATGTTACATTGACGAATGTTAATAGTGTTGATGAGGTTGAAATCTCATTGTCAAAGGAGAGGAAATCTGAAAATGAGAATACAAATTTGCCATTCAAACAGATTAGAGGACAAGAATGTGATAACAGTGATCCTAAATCCTATCCAGATTCTGTGACTCGATTGACAAGAGGTAAAATGAACAATAGTAGGTAGTTAGATATATGGTGCTAGATGTTGCTATTTATTTTTCTAAATTATTTTGTACTTCATAGTAGGCTGCCGTAAAACTTCCTTTAAGTAATATATCATGTTTCAAACACTTCCTTTGAGATTTACAGCATTGCCGTTTTGATCTAATTGTGTCTGTCAGCACCATGTTAACACCGTACAGATTATCCTCCAAGAAGGGAGAATTGCATATACTGCAGAACTTGATTATCAATCTTTTTTGCCTAGTATGTAATCTAAGTATCTATTAGATTTTCATGAGAAGATCAATGCAAGAAATTAATTTAATGTTTCACACTAAAATCTTCACAAATTGAAACTGAATATTGTAATCATTTTAAGACTATGTTTTCATAGTGCTTTGTCTCTGAACCTCTCGTGAAGTGTTAGGATTCCGAAGCCAAGACAAACTTTGTAGCTAATGCTCGCTTGTTCTTTTTGATGGCCACAGGTAAAAATCCTTTTGCTTTGTCCATACTGAAGCAAGTGGAGCATAAGTTACATGGATGGGATATAGATGGCACCAGGTGGGCAATTAAGCATCTTAGTAATCACCCAAAAATGTCCTCGTGTTCTCCAGTTTATTGATCTACTGTTCCTTCTAGGTCCTTGAAGGTTTCTGAGCAAGTTGACCATCTTCTCAAGCAAGCGACAAGCATTGACAATTTGTGCAATATGTATGAGGGGTGGACACCTTGGATATGATTCAAAGATACATGTGAACATGTCTTTCTACGATTTGTTTTTTCCAGGTATCAACTGAAAATATAAGATCCCCCTATAGGTTTGTTTAGTACCTTGTGATAGAAGGGGTTGTCCAAACAGTAATTAATTTTCAGATGGAACATATTGCTGTGGTCATCATTATTTGGCATTTCTTAAAACCTAGATAAGTCAGTGCCAGCTAACTGGCCAAAAAGAATGTCATTTAAAAGGGAACTGCTTAACTGCCAGTATATTAGCATATTCAACTACATTCATTTACAAAAATTATGTACCAGACTAACGGTTCATACTTGTAGAAGAGTGAAACACGCTGGAGGTCCCTAAACATGTGCCATTGTCTTACTTAGGTCACTATACTTTTGGTATGATGTTAGCCTTTTCATACTCCATAGTATATTACCGTCATGAATTCAGATCAATGATTTAGTTAGTCAAAACAAGAGAGAAAAGAATTCCAACAGCTTCTCATTGTTTGCAGGGCAAGCTGAAGTTGAGATCTGAATGGGCATAAGTTATTACAATATCCACCTTTTATTTGCCTAGTTAAGTGTATAATACCTTTCCTCTGAGTTGATATCTCCAATTCCTACGTTAGTTCAGTGACAATTTTAACACATGTATAACTTTCTGTCAGTATACTAGTCAACTTTCTGCCAACCATTTTCCTGGATCACTGTCAATAGTCTGGTACGTCTCCCCACGTTTATACATATTACTGCTTTCCCTGCTTTGGGACTTTTTTTTTTAATTCGACATTATTGATTTTAAGTTTTTGTGATATAACTTTGATCGCTACTTTTATATACTTATAACAATACTCTCTCTTTTACTTGACATTTTGACTTCTCGTAGTCACCACTCACCAATATACAGCTGTAATCATTCTCTTTTGCAATTTTTAATTTTTAATGTATATATTTCATACATCTATTCTGTACATTTTTTGCTATCTTGATGATCAACATTTGGAAAGTTTGATGGCATGTATTCTATTCTAGGTGACAAGTAAAAAGGAACAGATGGAGTAAGTACTTTTAGAAAAATCTAGTAGAGTAGTTTCCATATTATCCAATATGGGTATTATAGTTTCCATTAATACCACCTCCATTTTTAAACATATGACACTGTTGGCTTTTGGACATACGACCATCCATCTTATCAAAAGGATATGTATCACTTATTTTTTTGTGACTTGTTTTTATCATTAAAGATACTTTAAGCATGACTACATTTTTGCATAAAATTTTTTAATAAGACAAATGGTCAAATGTATGTCCAAAAATCAATAGCTTCGTATATTTAAAAATGGAGAGTATTAATGGTCAAGTTTTTACTACATGGACATGAAATTTTAAAAAAAAAGGAAGGAAATGCTCATTTTGTTTGTTTTTTTACACGTGCATATGTGGATACATGCACTATCACCAACGTAATGATGCACGTTTAAATTCAAATCTTCTGTTCATTATCATGTCGTGCACAAATCATGAAGCACGTTGGACTGATAGGATAGTGCATATGCAGAGATTCATTTCTCTTTCACATAACTATAACCTTCTGTTAATACAAATCAGTTTATTCCTTTTAATATTTTCGTTTTTTTTTTGTTGCAAGCTTTAATGACCATTTGTCGATCTTCATTTTCTAACGTACTTAGAAGTAACAGTAAAGCATAAGTGATTTACCCAAAAAATTTCTGTTTCATTTCCAGAGTTTGGACAAGACAATCCATAGTGAAAACAAGATTGCCACAGCACGTCGAGCAAAAGCAGGCTTACTGCCACAAAGAGGTTTGGTTTGCACCTGCTCTTTACTTTTTCTTCAAAACAAGGCTGAGGCTAGCTGTTTAAACATTTCAAATAAGAGTGTTCATATTTGGTCTAGCTTTACAGGGTCACCATTCACTCCATATCCTAGCAGCAAGATATGAACTGTTAAGTATGGGTAGCTATGGATGGATCCAGACACAGCAAGGATCTGAAGTACTTTCAGCGTTTTCATGTACAATGTTCTCAGCTATACAGCAATGTATTGCAGAATTCAGGCATCGATATTTTGGGATATGGACTGGTTTTAGCAATGGTATGAACAAAAATACCCTAGCTAAGAGTTTGCAGTTCACGTGGACAGCCATGGCTTTGCACTCCCAGTGGACTGAAGACTTCATGATCTTTAACAGTAAGCCGTCTTAAGAACATGAAGAGTTTTAGCAAGCACGTTTTAAAAGCACAACCAAGAAATCTGGTTCGAGTATAGTGTACATAATATTTTGCATGTACTTGTGATTTTAGAAGATTCCTACCATGACCATGTTGCATTGATGTAAAGATAGGTGTTCGACATGCAATTCTGGAAGTGGGATTCTAATTCTAAAGTGGGCAAGTATCACAGTATTTTTTTCCTCTATGCACACCTCAAATATAGCTATATTTTCGCGTGAAAAAGGGTCTGGCGATATTCAAAAGCAAAATTGGAAATTTATAGCTTGTAGAATACATGAACTCTTGCTTTCTTTCCTTGTGTTTTATTCAGATACAGATTGGTCTGAAATCTTCAAGTATATATATAGCCTTACAGCGTGACACGTTGATGATGTGCCCCGTGCTGTTAACATTGTAATTTTTTTTATAAAAAAGAAAATCTTATCATCGTTCATAATTCCTCCCGTTTTATTGCTATTATTTGAGATGGAGATTGATCACTTTATCTGAACTCGAGTACGAACTGGTGGGCAGTGTTTGTGCTGTTGCTGACTAGTGGTCATGGAAAAGATAGGGCTCGGGTGGCCTCTGTGCACGCTGGCAGGGCAGCAATACCCTGGCCGCGTCCTCTCCATAAAACATTCAGATAAACTCAACTCCTTTTTCCCCAGCTGTTATTTTCACCATGTTTAATTTTTACCTTTGCATTTTGTATGGCCCAAGAGGCCAAGAAGCCTGTGCCTTAGGTAAATCTCCAGTAAATGTAGCGTAGTTTTTTTAATAGACAAAAATGCACCTTCTCATGTGGATAATATATTTTTGACCCCCAAAAATTGTACCAATGAGCATACTTTTATTCCTGTTATTTCTTTAATTTTCTTGGGAGAAATGTGAGATGTCGCTTTCGGAGATTAGGTGATTTTTTTTATATACACTTGCTCCCAGTGTTAGGTGATGGATGACAAAGCGTTTGTGACTTGTGATCTGTAAGTTGAGTGGTCAAGCCGCTGTTTCCTTTGCGATTTGGTACCCTGCGTCCTGATTAGTGGTAGCTAATCGCAGCAATTATATAAGCAAACCATATCTCTAAGCGCACAGGATCATTGTTTGGTTCGATACATTTTCTCCAGTGAAGAATCTTGCCTGCTTTTGGGTTGGTGGCGATCTTGAAAGCTAACACGCACGTAAAATAAACTATGCTAAATGGCAGGGCACCCGGTTAATTATTTCTTTTCCTGCCTCTGGGACCAACATCCCCGGATACTTTCAGCCATTTGATCTAGTGTCATTAGATATGGGAATATAATCTCGTTATGCGAATTTTCTCCCTTATTTTGCTGAAACCTATTTTGCTTAAATTGCACCACCCATTGCAATTTACACAATTAAAATCAAGATATTCTTTTTATCCGAATGTAACCGCATCCATAAAAAAAAAAGGTACTCTGCTATCCAAAAGAAAACGTTGTGTTGCAAAAGAATAGAAAAAACAGAAGCAGAAAAAAAAACATAAAAATAAGTAATGCTAGTGGCAAATAAGAAGAACGCGAAAACAAACGACCAATTTACATGTCTAAAATCTCAAAAAAAAATTGGTTAAAGATTTTTTAAAAAATAAACCAAGGGTTGGAATTTTTTTTCTTTTTATTTAAAAAAAGAAGAAAATAAAAATAAAAGGAAAAGGAAAAGATTAAGCAGAGGTTGGTGATGCTGATGCGTCCGGTGTGGTGGGTGCTGGGGCTGATCACTGCAGATAAAAACGCCACGCGAATCCACTACCTCCCAAACCCCGAGACCCCCCCGCCTCCACCACCACCCGCCGCTCGCCGCTCGCCCACCATGGCCATGGCGACGGCGCTCCGCAAGCTCTCCTCCGACGCCCTCCGCCGCCAGCCGCTCTCCCGCATCACCCCGCTCTACTACATGGTTCCGCTCTTCTTCCTCCATTTTTTCTTTAATTTTTTTTTGTTTATATCGTTGCCCTCTTGAGAAATGGTGCTTAATCCGTTCCATGGATTGGTTTGGGTTCGTGCGCTCTCGCAGGCGTCCCTGCCGGCGACGGAGGAGAGATCCGGAGTCACCGTACGTGCTCTCTCTCTCTCTCTCTCTCTTGACTATGTGTTCCGTTGCTCGTTGGTGTCTGTGGTTTGTTCATTCGTTTTTTTTTTATTATTATTTTGTTTGTGTGTTGGATGCAGTGGCCGAAGCAGCTGAACGCGCCGCTGGAGGAGGTGGATCCCGAGATCGCCGACATCATCGAGCACGAGAAGGCCCGCCAATGGAAGGTAACCAGCAACCACCAAAAAAAAAGTGCGTGGATTGTTCAGTGTTTGGTCCACCGACGCATTGCTGAATTGTGGCAATCTGTTTGGTGCAGGGTCTGGAGCTCATCCCGTCGGAGAACTTCACCTCGGTGTCAGTGATGCAGGCGGTGGGATCCGTCATGACCAACAAGTACAGCGAGGGGTACCCCGGCGCGAGATACTACGGTGGAAACGAGTACGGTTGATTGCGTTCTATCGGTTGCCTTTGTTCAGATTATTTGGGTGTTAAAAATGTTTAATCTGAAAGAGAAATCAGTGCCTGATGGGAGTGAATGATGTGAATTTCTGGTGGCTCTGGGTTTTCCTTGCGTGCAGATACATTGATATGGCCGAGTCATTGTGCCAGAAACGTGCTTTGGAGGCCTTCCGCTTGGACCCAGCGAAATGGGGAGGTAAATCATTTTCACTCTTTATCTTGCCTTGTCATGTTTTTATATGAACTCCAGCTTTCATGCGCATCAATAGCCTTTAGTCCTCTTTTGTTTCCTGCTTTGGGCGATGTAAATGAAAAAAAAAAAGGATAGGGGCAAAAAGGTTCCTTTGGATAAGACACAGTTTTTATGGTTCCATAGTTCACAAAAAAAAAAAAAGGGATTTTGATCAGAAAATTTCTTCTAGGTTCTTAATTTACTTAGCTTCCTCACTAGTACAATGAAAAGATTACATCGTTTATAAACCACTCGGTTCTTCAGTAACCTGAATACAAATGGTACACGAGTGGTCCTATTCATTTATATTTTTCGAATTGTTTGCTTTCATTATTAACCGCTTTGTACTTAAATTTATCTAGAATACTTATTCTCAAAATTTTAGTTTTCTTTCTCCAAAAAGGTGGCATTCTAACTTGACAACCAATTTCTACCTCTGCAGTGAATGTGCAACCTCTATCAGGGTCACCTGCCAACTTCCATGTTTACACTGCCCTATTGAAACCACATGAGAGAATCATGGCTTTGGATCTTCCTCATGGTGGACATCTTTCTCACGGCTACCAGGTACATGGGTCTGGACTTCTTCATTGCCTCCTTACTACTAGTTGTTTCAGTTGGCATGCAAGCATAATGCTTCCTTCCTTGTTGTCTTTCTTTGTCCTCACAAGTTTTTCAATTCTCTCATCGTTACTATATACCAATGAGTTTCTTCCCCCTCAATTCTTAGTTATGTTCAGATATAATGCTCTTGGTACTCTCATCCTCCCATGGCTTAGTTGTTCAACTTCTTGATGGTTGCAGACTGATACTAAGAAGATTTCAGCAGTTTCGATATTCTTTGAGACAATGCCCTACAGATTGGATGAAAGCACTGGCTTGATTGATTATGATCAGGTGCAATGTCCTCCTTATCTGTTTTGTTTTAATGCCATTTAACTTATTGAATTCTCTATCATTCTTTTATAGGTATGAGTTTTCATTGGACAAAACGTGTTCTTTTTGCATCTAGCAGATTCCACAGCTGAAAATATGGTTTCAAGTAGCATTATCTAGGATATTTTTCATTGCCTCATATCTCTTTCAATTGTGAAATTATTTCAAGATGAATTTCTGCTGACATGCTTGATTTGCTACTTCTGCACAGATGGAGAAAAGTGCCGTTCTTTTTAGGCCAAAGTTGATCGTTGCGGGTGCAAGTGCATATGCGCGTCTTTATGACTATGACCGCATGCGGAAGGTGAATTTTACTGCTCAATAGTGCATGCTGAATCTTCACCTTCTGTAATCAGTCAAATAATTCACTTGTTATGCAATCTGCAGGTTTGTGACAAGCAGAAGGCAATACTTCTAGCAGATATGGCACATATCAGTGGGCTTGTCGCAGCTGGTGTTGTTCCATCTCCTTTTGATTATGCAGATGTAGTGACTACCACTACTCACAAGTCACTCCGTGGACCACGTGGAGCCATGATCTTTTACAGGAAGGGGGTGAAAGGAGTAAACAAGCAAGGCAAAGAGGTATATACTTGAGCAGAACAATAGCAAGATAGTAGCGTAGGGTGTTGGTACTGTTTCTTCTCCATCCTGTGACTCTGTGAGCTTCAAAAAAATAAAAATGCCTAATGACCCTCTACCGTCTAGGTTATGTATGACTTTGAGGACAAGATCAATGCTGCTGTCTTCCCAGGTCTGCAAGGTGGACCACATAATCATACCATTACTGGCTTAGCTGTTGCGCTTAAGCAGGTCTGTAGCACTTCTGATCCCTGATGTTTTATATTTTATAGATCACATTGTTTGCCTTTGTCTTGGACTCTAAAAGGACTTTCTAACTTCCAGGCAACTACTCCGGAGTACAGAGCTTATCAAGAGCAAGTTATGAGTAACTGTGCAAAATTTGCACAGGTATGTGTTCAAATTTTGCTAGGTTTTTTTTTTTATCTACAATATGGCTTGATCTTTCTTTATTTCACAACACTTAATAATGATTTTGTTCTTCACTTAGTTCACCTCAGCATGTTACGAATTGCAAATTATTGGTTTTTCAACATGATGAATTGTGCTTTAACATTTGAACCACTTCCTTATCTGGTGGCAATTTATCACTTCCAGAGCTTGACAGCAAAAGGCTACGAACTTGTCTCTGGTGGGACTGACAACCATTTAGTGTTGGTAAATCTCAAGAGCAAGGTAAGACAAACATGTGGGACGCTTTGGGTGTTTTGAGATATTTTAGTTCTATCTTTCAGTTTCTCTTATGAGTGCTCACCAATAAACTTTCAGCTGCTTCCTTTTAAAAAATATCGATTGATGTCTATTTAACCTCAAGCTTGCTGTTTCTGTATATAAATGATAGCTAAATGTGCTTTGCAGATAAACTTGTTTTTTTTTTTCAAATTTTTATGCCATATGGGGACAATTATCATCCTCTTCAAATTTCATGTTTAGGGCATAGATGGTTCAAGAGTGGAGAAGGTTTTAGAAAACGTGCACATTGCAGCAAACAAGAACACAGTTCCTGGTGATGTTTCAGCTATGGTACCAGGAGGCATCAGGATGGGTAAAATCTGCCCCTATGTGGTTTTTTTTTTAATTTACTTAAAATAGATTTGCAAAATCTCAATATCAGCTCCATGATCATGCAGGAACCCCAGCACTGACCTCAAGAGGATTTGTTGAGGAGGACTTTGCTAAGGTTGCTGATTTCTT